AGACTAAAGCTAGAGCTTTATTTCTTACTCTCTATAAAAAATTCAAGTGAGAATGGATAAAAGACTTTAATGTAAGGCTGAAACTTTGAAAATACCAGAGAAAAACAGGGAGAGCACAAGACAGAGGCATAGAAAGGATTTGTGAATAGAGTTCCAAAAACTCTATAGATGACAGCAAGAATTGACAAATGATGTGTCATCAAATTAAAATCCTTCCACACAGGAAATAGAGAGACAGTCTAAAAACTGAAGAACATCTTTGCCAGCTATTCATTGAACAGGGAATCAATATCCACAATATATAAAGAGCTCTGGACATGGTGGCACATGCCTGTAAACTCAGTACTTGGCTGAGAAAGGAGGAACGAGTATGAGGCCAGCCTGGACTACAAAACAAGACCCTGTTTCAAACAGACAAACAAGACCCCCCCAATCAACATCAGCATCAACAACAAAACTCAACCAAAACAAGCATGCAAACAACCAAAAACCCAGAACTCAAAAAATTAAACATCAAAATAACAGTCCAACCAATAAATAGCAAGTGAACTGAATAGTCAGTTCTCAAAAGGAGTACAAATAGTGTTTGACATCTTTAGCTCTCAGCAAATACAAATCAAAACAGAGATTCCATCTTACCCCATCCCAAGATTATTAAGAAAACAAAAGACAAAAGTGCTGGTGAGAACTTGAGGAAAAAGGACCTTGTACACCGCTTATGGAAATGTAAATTAGTGCAACTGCTTCAGAAATCAGTATGGAGGTGCCTCAAAACAAGAAACAAAACCAATCCCTCCCCCTAAGAATAGAACTACCATATGATCCAGCTATAGCACTGTAGGGAAATACCTGAAATATAAAAATCGGGATACAGGGCTGAAGAGATGGCTCAGCAGTTAAGAGCACTGGCTGTTTTTGCAGAGGACCCGGATTCAATTCCAGCACCCACATGACAGCTAACAACTGTCCATAACTCCAGTTCCAGGGGATCTGACACCTTCTTCTGACCTTCACAGGCATTGCATGACACAGGTGTACTTACATGCATGCAGGCAATACACTCATACACATAAAAATAATAAAATATTTTTAAAAGTCCGCCTACAGTAGAGCTAACTGCATATCCGCATTTATTGCGACACTTGTGGTGCAACCTAGGTGCTCATAATGGATGAGTGGATTTTTAAATGTGGTCTATTTACAAATGGCATATTAGTCATACAGGAGAACATTTTGTTGTTGTCAGGAAATGAATGGAACTGGAAATCATGTTAAAACAATTCAAGCTCAGAAAGGCAAATATCACATTTTCTCTCATATGTAGAATCTATATTAAAAATGATTTTAAAGCAGTATGGGGACTATTTTGGGGAAACAAGGGGGCCCACAGGAGGGAGGAAGGGGATAAGGGAGGGCAGTAGATACGATCAAAGTACATACATATGCATATGAAAATGTCATGATACCCATTGCTTTGTACAATTAATATATACCAATAAAATGATAAAATTAACAAAGGAAAAGGCTGTGACTTTGCAGGTCTGAAGTGGATTAGGGAGGATCCAGAACTGAGAGTCATGAGGCTAGTGGGTGTAGCCTCTGCTACAAAGTGCTTGTCTAGACTATACAAGGCTTTGATCCCCAGTAATACACACACACACACACACACACACACACACACACACACACACACACACACACACACACAAAACTGAATTAAGTCATGTATTTACATAAGCTCAGCATCTTTAGGGAATGAAGCACTGTCAAGTGTAGTGAGTTGAATGGTGGATCTTCAAAAAATTATATCCCTGTCCTAATATGTAGAATCTGGGAATGTGATGTTATTTGGAAAAAGAGATTTTACCAACATAATCATTACAGGTACAGGTTATAAGGTGAGATCGTTCTGGATTACCTGTGTATTCTGTATAGCCAGTGATAAGCACTGTTATGAGAAAGAAGGGGGGGCACTGACAGAGCCCTGTGAAGATGGAAGGAGAGATTAGTGTTATGGTGTAGCAAGCCAGGGAACTAAGCTACCAGAAGCTGGGAGAGGTGAGGTAGGATTCTCCCTACAGCATCCAGAGGTGGTGCAATCTTGTCAACATCTTGATTTCTGACTTCTGTGAAATTAGCTTCTGTTTTAAGCCAAATCAGGGTCCAAGATGGAATCCAAGGACCTTATGCTGAGGACTAGGGCTACAAAAGTCAATATGGTCACTTCTGCATGGGGACAAGTCCAGGGACAGAAATACATGAGTGAACAAATGGTTCCCTCCTCAAAGGTTGGGGACAGTGGAAGCCAAGGAGACATGACCCTCAGTCCTGTAACCTGTCACCCTTCAGGGACAGATTCCCAGGAGCACATGTACCCACGATGAGGTTCTGAGATGAGAGATTCCGAGACCCTATGGAGGCTTGGCTCATACCTTTGGCTACTAAGAGGTGTGGTGTGGAGAAAGGTATACAGATCGCCAGCCCTTCATGAAGTCAGCAACTATAGAGTCCATTTCTGTGGGAAGTGCTGAGAAAATAGGACAAAGACACACAGTTTACATTCTGTCAGAGTGCCCAGGCCAGGGACGGGAGTCATTACTTTGGTTATACACCTCTCAGATGTGGAACGCACAAGCATGAAGGGACATGTGGGCTGTTGGAGGAGGTTTTGACCCGGTAGAGGATGTGAAGAAAACCTCTTCGTTAGTGGAGATCTGAATGATTTGGTCAGGGTTTGGGGAAAACTTTCTAGACAGAAATAACAGCATGCATAAAGGTCGGGTGATATGGGAAGGAGGAATGGCCAATTCCATGGACTGGAGGAAGATTAGCTGGCTAGAAAAGTGAACAGGGTCACCCATGTGGGGCTTTATAGACCACATTTAGGGTTTCTCCTAAGAGCAGCACAGTTTTCTCAGCTGCAAGTGGTAGACACAGATCTGCATTTTGAGATCATTGGGGGCTGTCAGATAGGAGATGGGAAGGAAACAAAATGGATGGGTAGCCAGCCAGCAAGGTGTTAGGATCACTGAAGGTAAAAAAAATGCCAAGAAGTGGTGGATTACAGAGAAGCTTAGGTAGTGGAGTTGAAGACTTGGGATGTGGATGGATGGCGTTTAGGATCAAGGGAGTAGGAGGTGCCAAGGACGACTCCTGGCTTTTGGTTAGGAAGCTGGTGGGAAGCAGCTCATCCTTGTGATCGAGAACACACTTTGTGGAGTTAGAGAAGGTGGGAGAACAAGAACTCAGCACCAGACATGACACTCAGGCAGAGATGTAGACTGAGCAGTCAAGTTTGAGAGACTGCAGCTTGGTAAGGACAAAGGTAAAGATGATCATTTGTGAGTCATCTCTGCACAGGAAAAGTTTAAAAGAGGAAAATAGAGTGCTTAGGACCGAGTCTTGAGGAATCCCCAACTTTTACTGACTAATGAGGGGAGAAAGAAGATCCTAGAAGCCTGGGCTGAGGTGGCAAAGACGATGGAAGGAAACCAAGGAACTTGAGTGTTTCAAGGGGGCCTTGGAAGATGAGGATTGAACAGCTGTTGAATTTAGAGATTTGCAAGTTGTTGAGAACTCACTGGGATCTAGGTTGGTGCTGCTGAAGAGCTGAAGGCTATTACGAGGCCTGAGGGATAGGCGAGGATGAGGACCAGAAGACAGCTCCTATTTATAGGCCAATGGGAAAGATTCAGAAGCAGGAAGGTGTGCTTTGTCCGGCTGCGCTCTGGCTGGTGGCTGACAAGCAGGGTGAGCGGCTCATTGGCATTTTCTGAGTTGTAGTTCTGGGTCTGTCTCTCCCTGCTGGGCTGCCCTCCTGGCCAGCGTTACAGGGAATCCACCCTGGGCTCTGCTCCCTAATGAGATTCTCAGACTGCTTTTCATTCATGAGGCCAGCTCACAGGGCAGGCGTGAGAACCTCCTCCAGGTCAGACTGCGGTCGGCCGCATCCTTGCCTTCTCCGCTTCACTGGGACGGAGCAGGTGGACCAGGTGCCGTCTTCAGGCCTGGGCCAGGAGGACGAGTTTGGACAACACTACACAGGCCCCTGTGCTACAGGCCAGGCGCCCCCTGTCTTACCATCAGCCCCCACGAGTGAGGAAGCGTTTGGACAATACTACACTGGTCCCTGTGCTACAGGCCTGGCGCCCCGTCTTCCCATCAGTCCCTATGAGTGAGGAAGCATTAGGACACACTACGTTGGCCCCTGTGCTACAGGCTTGGCGCCCCGTCTTCCCATCAGTCCCTGTGAGTGAGGAAGCATTAGGACACGCTACGTTGGCCCCTGGCCTACAGGCCGAGCGCCCCGTCTTCCCATCAGTCCCCACGAGGGGAAAAAGAGTTTGGACAACGGTACACTAGCCCCTGTGCTACAGACCTGGCGCCCCTTGTCTTCCCGTCAGTCCCCGCAAGTGAGGAAGAGTTTGGACAACTCTACACTCGTCCCTGTGCTACAGACCCGGCGCCCCCTGTCTTCCTATCAGTCCCCGCGAGTCACCAGAACGGGTCTGAGGCCCTCAGAGGCGGAGAGGCACCTTGTCCTGGACCGTGTCCCCCCTACTGCGTGCACCTCACTTAGACCCGGCTTCCCCGGGTCTGCGGGTCCTCTGGTGACCCCGGCCTCCCGCAGCGCGCTAGAGGTGACGGGGGTAGGATTAGCACGTGTGAGGCCTGTGAGGGACGCCGGGATCGTGCGGTCCGTCAGGTGGGAGCGCGGGGAAGTGAGGCGCGCGGCGTACGTGCAGCGCGTGGCGGAAGAGATGATGGGCGCGGTGGGCGGAGCGGGCCTTTCCGAGGCGGCGGCACCCCCAGCCGCTCTCCCAGGACGGCCAGCCCCGCCAGGCCCGGACGGAGGTGGGGACGTGGCGGAGGCTCAAGCGGGCGGAGCGGCCGCGGTGGGGGCGGGGCCTCGCGGAGGGGCGGAGCCGAGTGGAGCCGGGGCGCCGCCGCAGGAGGTTTTGGAAACGCCGGGAGCAGCGCGCGGTCAGGTGAGCGGCGGGGGTCGCCTCGCGTGGAGCCGGGAGCCCAGGGTTGCCTCGGGGTCAGGAGTTCGCGCCGCCGGCGGCCCCGCGCTCTCCGCCGGGTTTCTGCACCCGCCTGAGTTCCTGTCCCGTTCGGGTCCCTTCCCTGGGTCAGGGTGGTGAGGTCAGCGGCGCCCTTCCTGCCTGTCCAGCCGGGCGGGGCGGCATTTGGTTCTGCCGGTCCAGGCTGGGGAAGGAGCGGCTTAACCCCAGGGTCGCCTGCTATCGGGGGTGCTGCTTAGCTGAGGACACCCGCTCCCCCTGCTCCCACCCCAGATGGATGGGCTGTTAGATCAGAATGTCCCCTCCCGCTGACATCCCCGTGGACCCTGCGGTGTTCTCCCCCAGCCCTTGCCCTGACTTACTTAACAATCGGAGCTTTCTGTGTGCAGAAACTGCCAGGAATTGCTTAGCCCAGGGGGCAGGCAGAGCACCAGACCGAGGAAGCCCAGGTCCTGAGCAACAGTGTGGTGAGTAACTGTGTTGGCTGTGAGGACTTGGTAGCTGTCTAGAGGCCTCAGGACTGGGGGTTTCCTGGGAGTTAACCTGATTATTAATCAGGTCTGAGAAAACAGCCTAAGCCAGAGGGAGCTGACTTGGGACAGTATCACATTTTGGTACTTTGATGGAAGCAAGGTGATGGGAAAGGGACTCTGGGGAATAACTGTCCAAGGGCCTCTTTCCACAAGAGCCAGGAGAGGCCTTGCATGTGGACCAGTCCAGTGAGCATGGATCAGGACACTTCCTGTCCCAGGTGTTACTGACCAGCCCAGGTGCTCTTGATCTCTGTGTTTTAATCTGACATCTAAGATGGTGTAGAATGGGGATGGAGAGTTGGTTTCGAGGTTAAGAGCACTGACTGCTCTTGCAGAGGACCTGGGTTGATTCCTAACACCCACATGGCAGTTAACAGTTCCAGTTCCAGGGGATACAGCGCCCCTCTTCTGACATCCTCAGGCACTGCACGACTTGGGTGCACTCACATACATGCAGTCAACACACCCATATATACATTAAAAAAAATGTTTTTTTAAAATGATGATGTAGGACAACACTGGGATTGCTCCCAAGACAGCTTTAATTTATTTATTTTTTTCTGTGGAGTGACACTTACAGCTTGTGCTTCTTGATGTAGACTATCTGGAGACTGACAGCCCCAGCCCTTTTGTAGGAAGGGCTTCCTGGAAGGTTTTTAAAGCAAGGGCACCACTTTGTAGCTTGTGGCATTCTTGAATGTCTCAGACTTTGCAGAGACCCATTGTCCAGCTAAGAATTTACAGGGTGTTTTCGCAAGTTGCTGCTCGTTCTTAGCTTGTATCTCATCTGAGTGAATCTGTCGTTCAGTTCTGTGTTAATAGGCCAGGATTTCTTCTGGCTTGAACTTAAACTGCCTTGCAGTGTCCAAGTTGTGGTCTCTCACTGTGCTTCTATGAAAAGCTCAGGGTCCAGCTTCTCTGCTCCTCTCCAAGAATAGGGCATTTGGCCTTTGGATTCTTTCCTTCTGGGGCCTCCTTGTTCTCACAGCCACATGTGTCCACTGTGTGGCCAGCCAGCGAAGCCACGTAGCAAGGATGAGTAAGTTGGCTGGGGGCCTTGTCCCAAAGATGCTGTTGTACTGAATGACCCTCCATAGTTCTTGGCGAGCTCAGCAGGCTAACATGGTGACAACTCAACTGCAGCATAGTGTGTGGCTTGTGGTGGCTTTTGTACCTTGTTGCAAGCTCTGCAATGAGGTGATCCAGAGAGTTCTGACTTAGTTGCTAGCGTGGACTGGCCACCTCAGATCTTGGACCCTGGCTGGGGCTGGAGTGAGGGAGAAGGGAGAGGATGTGGTAGAGGCACTCTCTTTGCCTGTAGGCAGCTCATAATGTGAGGTTGCTGTTTCATACTGGCAGCTGGCCTTGTGCCAGGGGAGGTGCCTGGCATGGGAGTGCTCATCAGAGGGAGATTGAGTACATGCAACTGGGGAATGAGTGGGGTGAGGGAATTGAGGGTCTCCTCATTTTCTGTGAAAGCCTCCCATCTTGACTGCACCCTCCTGCATCCTTGGGGAGGGTTTGAGGCTGGACGAAGACCTTGGCTGACTTATGGCCACGCTGGCTGATAGTGTGCAGAGGGCTGGTAGGTGTGTCCCTGGTTTCTGGGATCTGTCAGGAGTTTAATTTTATGCAGATGGACATTGGCAGCCAATGCTATGATGTAGGCATGTGCAAGGCCAGCAGAGTCCTGGAGTGCATCTTAAACTTTGAAAACATCACTCAAATACCGCCATTTAGAATTTTGAAGTACCCAAGGGTGGGGTACCAGCCTATCCCAGAGCAAAGGGGGCTGCTGGGTCCTGTGGTCTGTGGGTTTTGTGCTGGAGACATGGAATGAGGGACAGTTTCTATTCTCAGAGCAGAGAGGGGTGAAAGGGTCTGCACTAGACTTCTTGGAGCAGGAAGTTTTTATTCAGTTGGTGCCACTGCAGGACAGAGGAGTAAGTGTTTATGGCTGTGTATTCTCCAGCTCAGATAGGAGAACACAGGCCAACCTCTGCTCTAGACATCTCAAGAAACACTTGCTTGAGAATTGCTTGGTCTGTACCTGCACTCCTGAGAGCCAGGGTGTGGTAGAGATTCGAAGGCCTAGTACTTGTAGGAGCCTGGAATGAGGAAATCTTAGAGTATTGGTCCAGTCCCTGCCTTTTCCTAAGGAACTTTCCTTGGTGAGCCTTAGGGCCCATGATTGACCACTTCCAGGATTACTACCGAGTAATCTAGTGTTAATGTCATGACACCTGACGCTAGTCTTGAACTGAATGTGTCATTTCTTCTGGCATTCCTGGGATGCAAAGATCACCCTTGTTTCTTACACTGTCACTGTCCCCTAGTCTGGGCCTTCTTCCTCACTTAGAGAACAACTACCTTGGGCAGCTGGCCACTTTAAATTTCCCTGTGGTGCTCTTGGTGCATACGATTGGCAGACACTGTGCTTGGTGCTGGGCTGCTTGCTGACTGACATCTGTCATCTCAGTGAGTCCACATGCAGGGCCCTCTCAAATGCGAGTGCTAGTATGATTTCCGTTGTGTAGATGGGGACATTGAGGATCAGGAAGACTGGAACTTCCCCAAGGTCACAAAGCTGGGAAGTGATGGTTGGAGCTAGGATTTAACTCTGGGTCTTTCTAACTCCAGGACAGATGCCCCTGCACGTGGGACTGTATTGCTTTGATCTGGGCTTGTGCTGATTATATGTGATGTGGTTTATATGTGTGTGGGGTCTTTCTCACCCCAGGACAGATGTCCCTGTTCATTGGGCCGTATTGCCTTGCCTAGAGCTGGGCTGGCTGATTATGTGTGATGTGTTGGGTAGGCGTGACTGTCCACTTGAATTTAGGAAATCATGTTGCTATTTTCTGGGTCCATGTGCTCTCCTTTTCTTCTGTGGGAAACCAGCTAGGATTGCCATGGACCTTCTTTGTGAACTTTCAGATCACCCTTGATAAAGTCCTCAATGTGAGCATAGTTGTGGCTTCCCTATTTCAGGAAGGCTTCTATGCTGTGAGGTAACAGATATGACTGAGGAAGATTGGATAGCAACAGTATTTAGCAGAAAGGGTTTAGTTTGGGCTCCTAGTTGCTGACATATGTCAGGTGTGCAGGAAACCCTGTGCAGCCTCAGTCATCTGCCTGATCCTTGCAGAGTATTCAGTCCCCTCTCCTTAGTCATGGTTTCCCTTTCTGTAATTTCAGTCTTCCATAGGGATGTAGTTCCTTTCATCCATCCATTCAGTTTGAAAATATTAGTTGAAAAATAACAGGAATAAACAAGTTTGGGTCCTCGAGTTCTGTGTTGGAATCTTGTGGCACTTTGTGCTATTTGGGGGGCATGAATCCTCCCTTTGTTTGGTGACCCAGGCACTACCTTTGTTAGTCTCTCCATCACTTTGTGACTGTACTCTGTTAACAGTGATTGTGCTCAAGTAACTGATTAAATAGTTGTCCCAATGTATAAGAGTAGTGTTGCTGGCAGTTTCATTGTGGTACATTGTAATAAGTCTATTTTGTGATGAGTTATTAATAATCTCTCACTATGCCTAATTTATAAAAGTAGACTTTGTCATTGTATGTATGCCCAGAAAAAAAAACATTGCATATACAGGCTTGATACTATCTGTGGTTTCAGGCGTGCACTGGGCTTCTTGGAATGTATCCTCTATGTACAAGTGGGAAGTGCTGAAATGGAGCACTCCATCTGAAATGGAGATGATTATCTGGCTTCCAAGGTTTTTGTGAGAATTAGGTGGTAGAAATGAAAGATTTTTAGAAACATAAACCATGGTTATCTTAGACTAGGTTCCCAGGAAACAGAGCCTGAGGCAGAGCTTAAGTGCCTAATGCTTATTGGAAAGTGTATTGCAGGGCACCTAGGGTGAGGCAAAGAAAAGAGAATGGGAAACACAAGGTGGTGCTTTATCCAGCTGGCCACTCTGCACAGAGATCTGCCAGCTGTCAACCCATTTAGGACCTACTGCTGCGTGCATGCTCTGTGGAAGCTCAATGCCTAAGGACAGTGTCTTATAGAAGGTCCAGAGGGAGAATGTATCTGCTGACTTTGTCTTGTATTTTATCCTTCATTGGTCAGAGTTGTCCCACAAGTGGTACCTTTCCCTCATTCCTCAGTGTGTCCTTCTGTAGCCGCTGGAGAACCTAGCCTGGAGATATTGGGAGGAGCCAGAGATTCTGCCAAGGGTCAGTAGTCGCTTCTACAGGGCTGAGACAGAGCAAGTGGTTCAAGGCCTAGGACATGGTTATGAGGTGCCTTGGGTGGATTTTGTCCTTTGGGGTAGTTTTTTTCTTATAAATTAGGCTCACTCCGACTACAAGTCTCTATCAAGACCTTGACTGAAAACCTAGCTTGGCGTTGGCACGTGGATTTTGATAGCCTTCTCTGCTACTTCATTGTCTGGTTACTGAAGCAGGAGATGGTGGCTTTGGTGGTACCCACATGGGGAAGTAGAGATCAACACGTTCATGTACTGCATAGAGAAAGTGTAAGTGCGGATACATTTTACCTAACAGATGCATTCCTGCCAGGCCCACTGAGCACCCTCTTCCTCTGCTGATAGCAGCGGGGCTCCAGATCGAGTCCAGAGAGTTCTTTTAATGATAGCTCTATGTGGTTTCTTTTTTATTATCTTTACTTTATTATTTATTATTATTATTTATTCTTTTACTCTGGACCTGGAGTTATGGAAGGTTATTAGCCACCATGTGGATGCTAGGAATTGAACCCCAGTCTTCTGGAAGAACATCAAGTGTTCTTAACCTCTGAGCCATCTCTTTAGCCCCTCTACATGGTTTCTTAAACTTAGACTGAGATGAGACTCAGGAGAACAGTTGGGAGAGAAAGAAGAACATTTGGCTTCACTGAGCAGAGATCTAGGCTTCATGAGGTTCTTGGTGAAAGCAAGTATTTTTCACAGGAAGTCCTTGTTAAAGGCATGAGATCTGAGGTGGTGAGACTGGCTGGAGAGGGCAGCGGGGTCAGGTCACAGTGTTAAAGGGCCTCTTGGGCCAAGGAAGCTGGACTGTATCCTGTTGGCAGTAGAAAGCCAAAGGAGGGAGTTTATCAAGCCTTGCTGGCTACTTGGCAGAACAGAGTTGGAGGGAGGTCAGGTGAGGAGGGGGAAGTTGGAGCAGGTGAGGCCTGCATGGCTATAAGGGGGACTAGAGGTAGCTCAGATCAGGGTGATGGCTGAGGCATGATGTCTGGTAATGAGATTCAGGCCCACTTCTTTGTCTGCAGGACATTCATGTGCTTCAGTGGTGGAGTCTCTTGGAGGCTGTGCACAGCTCCTTGGGTGCACACGTGTCCTCTGAGCTCTGCTGCGCTGGAGTTGGCCATAGCGTGGGTGGCAGGGCCATGGTAGAGTAGAGGGTTAAGGAGTCCTGTTGAGGGAGGTTTCCCTTCACTGAAGGAAAACAGTGTTTTGTCCAGTGCCAGGCAAGATTGTTCTCAGCAAACTCATGTTCTGTCTCTAGGCTGTTAAATGCTTTGTTAAAACTCAGGCTGTTGCATTTGGGTTGCAGCTGGGAGCTTGGCAGAGGGGTTCTGCCTGATGAGGTAAAGGGAGAAGCTAAGGATGCTGCCAGTTTGCAACTGGAAACATCTTTTCATGGTCATTTGGCTAAGTTGTAAATGTCTTTTCCAAAGAGCAGGCTCACTGCAGGACCTCTGGTTGTATGTCTTGGAATAGCCACAGTGAGAAACTGTGCCAGTTGCCTGGTGGGTGAATTACTGTCACTGGGCCATTGGCAGGATTTGTAAGACCTCCCCACAGGGGTACAAACTCTAGGGCTGCCAAGATCCCTTTGGAGTTCAGGTGAGAAGGGCCTGCTTTGTTTCTTTTACATACTGAGCGTATTATAAAAATATTTTTTTGAATTCCAGTAGAATTCCTTATAGAAAGATCAGGAAAACAAACCTAAAAAGAAAAAAGATGATTACTTCACCAAATTCAACTAGAGTGTGATTTTGTTCAGCATGTGGGTGCATATATTTTTTCCTCCTTACCAGATGGAGTCACACAGTGTCTGGGGCCAGCTTTTCTCAGTCTGCTTCGTTCTTTCTGTGTTGATATAGCACTCCATTCCAGTCTCCTATATGGATGAAATGTAAAATCTTGCTGTCTTTCTGGTGAAGAATGCTTTGTTGGGTGCCTGCTATGGGACAGACATTATTCTTTACCCTAGGATGTGGCTCATCAAACTCACTGTGTGTTCTGCTCAGGCTTGGTGCCACTTTTCATAAAATAAGGTTTGACCTTAACTACCTCCTGAACTGTTCTTCATGGATTTCTGAGGATTCCTGGGAGGTTTTTTGGCAGCACTGACTCTGTGCAGGCACATGCACTCCCACTTCCTCTGTCCTAAGTAAGCTCTGGGTATAGCTATGGGATGGAAGTTGGCCTTTTCCACATTGGACGGCACAGTTGAACTTTGATACCTTCTCCTCCCAACTTGACCATAATTAGATGACCTTTTGTGCAAGGTCTTTTGAGTTCAGGTTCCTGGGGTCGGGAGAAATCGGCTGATAGATGCCCCGGCTTGAAAATGGTGTTGATGTGGCAGTCTGAGAACTGCGTAGGGTGTCCAGTTCTCTGGGCCAGTAATCTTGTCATACCCCCTTCTCCGACCCTGCCACAGCAGGACTTGAAAGCTCTTGGTAAGGATTTGAAATGCCCATCTGTGATTCTTTGAGGCTGTGCCTCCGGGCTGGGATTTGTGGATGGGCTCAGTTTAAGCCAGGCAGCATATTCCAGAGAGTGACAGCGGGGATTCATGTAATGAAGAAACCTGGCTGTGTTTTCCTGAACGCTGTAAGGTATGAACCACTGGTGGTATTTGAAAGGAATTGAGAGGCTTCCACCTTCCTTGAGTTTTGTTGCCTGATTTCTGAATAGGTATGAGCTGTAACTGGCCACAACAGCTGGAGAGAGGCATGGGGCCCCCACTTCAGCCAGGTCTAGTTTGGTGTCCTGCCCAGACCTTGCTCTCCTGTCACCCCCACTCTGAGGTGCAGTTGGCCAGTTCCCACTGTCCAGAGAGCTTCCTGAATCAGAGTTTTTCCTACATACTTAAGAGGGGGCTCTCCTGAGCTAGTCAAACTTTCTGAGAAGTCCAAGTAGCAGGCACCCACCTCTTTAAGGAAAGGGGATTATGGAAGTTAGAAGGCCCTTCTGGAATTCTGGGGTGAAGATGGTATGGTGAGGCCTGGGAGCAGACCAGGCTGGACCTAGGACCTGGACTCTGGTTCAGGGCTAGCCAAGGCCTTCTCTCAGTGACTTGGTTTTCTATGGCTCCATAATGGACCCCTTAGCTTGGGACTCCCTACTCCACAGCAGATTCTGCCTCGAAAGATAATTGTGGGTCTCTGGACCCCATCATACCTGGATGGAGAGGGATGCACCATCAGCTCTGTGGACGTTTGGCTGGGTATGAACCTTTGGGGTCATTACCTTGCCTTCTCTTCCTGTTAAAGGATCCTGTTTGAGGATGAGAGTTGTGACCTACTTCTCAGAGCCTGTCCTGGGGCCCAGTTGGTGGGAGTTCTGAAAGGGTGAGCTAAAGAACAGCAGGTGTCACTGCAAAATTTGGTGAGGTGGCGTTAGCTCAGATACGTTTTGTTTTGTTTTGTCGTTTTGGTCTCTTTGAGACAGGGTCTCCCTGTAGCCTCAGCTGGCCTGGAACTCCATATGTAGACCAGGCTGGCCTCCATCTCACAGTGATCCACCTGCCTCTGCCTCCTGAGTGTTGGGACTAAAGGCATGTTCCACCCCACCCGGCTCAGACACATTTTTTGAGAGAAGTTTGTGTTTCCTTTATTTTCTTTGCTTTCTCTTAGTAAATTTCCATTTCAGCCATTCAGTGAGACTTGACTGAAGAGGAAGGACGGGCAGAGCAGGGGTTCTCTAGGAGCTGGTCCTCCCACACATGCTGGGCTTTGTGGCTAGATGGGGAGACCGTGTCTGAAACTCTGTTTTGTACTTAGTCTGGCTGCCAGTGAGGCTTGCCCCAGGTTGCTCTCGCCTCCCTCAGAGCTATGTCTGACTATTTCTAGACTGACAAGAAGGCAGTAAGTAGCTGGCTTCTTCCCTGTGTCAGCAGCCCAACCCCAAAGTTCTGGCTGTCTGTGACTGATTCATTTTTGTCTTCTGAGTGCCTAGCTCAGTGCCTGGCATCTCTTGGTTGTCAGTAAATATATGTGAATGAGTGGTGACTGGCCAGTGAAGACAGGACGGTGACTGCCAGGACCTCACTACAGGAAGAGCCATGTCTGCTCAAGAGTGCCACCCCAACTCCTCTGTCTGGCAGGTACAGACTGGCAGAGGTCAGTTCTACAGTTGTCTGCTGTACAACTCGGCTTGGTCCCCTGGGCATATTACCCCAGTCTCTTTCTGTCATTGCCTATTCTGTACTGTCACTTTCCTATGGACAAGATCCAGGTCCTTGTGGCAACAGAGCTGTCTAAGAGGACTCAGTTCAAGGGAGATCACTCCCTGAGGCCCATTCTGATTCAGGGTGGCATGGCCTTAGTCACTGGCTTTCACCAATCTGGGGAGAATGAACCGTGCAGAGTTGCTACTTTCCCCATTGAAATCCTGATGCTCTTGACATCCTGGGAGCCAGTTGTTTGAATTAGATTCTTGGGCTGTGATATGCAGACCCCATATGGCTCTTGACGCTGTCCTGGCATATGCATTGGAAGGTATGAAAGAAAGACAAGCAGGAAGCCAGGCGTGCACACTTGTAACCTTAGCAGTTGGAAGGCTGAAGCAGGATTGTGAGTTCAAGGCCATCCTGGCCTCCACAGGGAGACCCCCAAAAAAGAAAAAACAAAAGCATCTCCAAAGAAAGAAAGAAAAAGGCACAGGCTAGAATTGAGAGCATATCACTGGTTCTGTGTTCTAGTCCCTCCCCTGGAAGATCCTGCATGTCTTTTAGCTTCTGTGTGGTAGGCCTGGATCTTACCATATTTGAGTGTGTGTATATGTATGGATGTGTCTCCTCACCTGAGTTGTTCCTCCACAATACAGGATCTCGCTATGTGGCCCAGGCTGGCCTTGAACTTCTGCTCCTCCAGCTCAGTCTCCTGAGTGCTGGACTTACAGGAGTATATCACCCATGGCTAGCCAAAGTTGTTCTTTTCTCCTGTGTTGATCTGATGAATGTCCTCAAATGCCTTGCAGACACTGCCCTCCCCAGTCATGAAACTCCAGATGGCCACACTGCTGATGGCCTGGTTTGGTGTCCTGAGCTGCGTGCAGGCAGAGTTCTTCACCTCTATCGGTATGTGGCAACAGGTTTTTGTCTGTCTGAGTAGCCCCCAGTTCATGTGTAAGGGGAGGTCACTGCCTGAGGCCTGTTCTCATTCAGGGTGGAATGGTCTCCGTCACTTTTTTTGACTAGTCTGGGGACAGTGGAGCTTGCAGAATTGCTCTTCCCCTCTGAGATCCTGATGATCTGGATGTCCTGGAATATAGCTGGGTGAATTGGGCCCTTGTCTCTGGGAAGTGCAGACTGCATACAGCTCTATGGTCTTTTTTAGGCCAGGGCCAGAGGGTGGTCTAAGTTGTGACTACTGAGTATCCTGAGGACCCAGTTTCTCCTCTGCTTCTCACTTGAAGTTTCAGTGCAGGGTTCCATGTGATGAGCACTTAGGATGTCGTAGTCCTCCCCCTCCCCTCTAGGGATAGGGCCAGCTGGGTACTGATAGATGTAGTAGGTGATGGGTGAATCCTGTTGATTGGGAGTAAGCACCAGGACACAGATAAAACTCCAGCAGAATAGGGTTTATTAGCAAAGGAACACATGGGACATATTCCCTTCCAGGTAGGGAAAATGTCTGCCCCCAGATCGAGAGCTGGGGTCTTTTTATGGGGGGAGGCTTCTGGGGGGTGCAGAAGGTGGGAAGATATATTTTTTTAAGGATTGGGGGGATAGGAGAGTGGGACTGTTAAGACCTGCCCCCTTTAGAGATCAAAGCAGAAGCCTGCTGTGTTGGCCAAACAGTGGAGAAAAGTCTGCTTTTGACTTCAAAGACCAAGGTGCTTTTCTCAGGGGCTTGAGGAACCTTGAGGCCCTCTTGGTGAGGGGGCGGGGCTGCTGTGTATCTGAACCCTAACAGGTACCAGTGGGAGAACGACATTTGAAACTTTGTTCAGTAGCCCCCAGTGTACTTATCCCAGAAATCCTCTTGATACCCCTGCCTCTCTCTTCCTCAAGTAGGGGCTAGGACCATGTGAAGGACTAGCCCTCTTTAATTCCCAGTTCCCCAAACTCCCTGCTTGCTGACATGTCCTTGGTTGGGGGATGGAGGTGGAGAGGAGGGATTGCTTCTGTGCTGGTAAAACATTCTTCATCATTCTCCCTGGTCCATGCTTCTCTCCTGTAGGGCACATGACTGACCTGATTTATGCAGAGAAAGACTTGGTGCAGTCTCTGAAGGAGTACATTCTTGTGGAGGAAGCCAAGCTGTCCAAGATTAAGAGGTATCCAATGTCCTAAGACCCTACACTCTCACCCTGTCAGCCCTACTGCCCCTTCTCCCAAGCCCATCCAAGGGGTTTATAAGAGGAAGCCTTGAGAGGTAGCATGGGGGTTTGACCTGGAGTTTACTTCATGTCAGTCCTCAGGAGTAGCTAAGTACTTGGGCTAAGGAGCTACTATTCTTTTTTTTTTTTTTTCCTTTATCTTTAAAACCTTTTAACTTACTTTGTAGTTCCCACCTCTTACCTAGATTAAGAGCTAGAAGTATCTATGAAAGTTACTGTATTCATTTTATTGCCTCTTGATGATAGAGTCCTGGCCCTCACCAGGGAAATTGCCAGCCTGTGTATGTGGGTATGGTAGTTTTCTTTTCCTTTGGTTCCCTAGCTGGGCCAGCAAGATGGAAGCCCTGACCAGCAAGTCTGCTGCTGATCCCGAGGGCTACCTGGCTCACCCTGTGAATGCCTATAAGCTGGTGAAGCGGCTGAACACAGATTGGCTTGCAGTGGAGGACCTTGTCCTGCAGGACTCTGCTGCAGGTGAGGGTCCGTGAGCAGGGGCTCAGCTATGTCTGCTTCTGCTTGGGCAGATACGTCTGAACTTGTCTTGGGTCTGGTGGACAAGTGTGGTGAACACTGTTCTCCCTTCTCTGGGGTGCCGGCCTTAATCAGTTCTTGTCTTATTTGTAATATTTTCTGACAATGGTATTTCTTTTTCTAGTTTTTCTTTAGTAATACATGTTTTTATAGCGAACTTAGGAAATAAAATATACCACACGAAAATTATAATCTTAATCCTGTTGCCTCGTGATAAACACCATTAAAACCTTAATCCTGGACTGGGAGATGGCTCAGTGGATAAAGCACTTGCCATGCATACATGAGGACTGGAGTTTGGATCCCCAGAACCCCCATGAAAGCCATGCCTGTCATTCTTGGCTCTTGGGAGATAGAGTCAGGATTTCCCAGGGCGAGCTAGCTTAGCTTGGTAGACTAGCTAATCAGTGAGCTCTGAGTTCCATTGAGAGACTCTGCTCGATATATAAAGTGGAGAGTGAGTGAGGAAGACATTCCACTTCAAATTTGGGCCTCCATACATATCCTTACATACATGTGCATTCACCCATGTTCCTACATGCATATACACATGCACACATCAAAAATTAATCTTCCTATGTGTGGATACATATTAAAAATGGAGTCATCCATAGGTTGAGGGGATAAGAACTCACTTGCTTTGAGGGACAAATAAATTAAAAATGATCCAAGTGGGCTCAGTGCTGAGACCAGGGCAAGTTGGGGACCAGAGGCCTCATCTGAATTCTTCTGTGCTGTCTCTTCAAACAAAGCACCACTGTGGAATATTTGATACAAACATGTACTTGGTATGTTTCTGTCTGTGCTGTTAAGTATTTTCTGTAACATGATTTTAATGACTGGATAGTAACCTGTCAGTGGTAGTCTGTAAATGGTCAAGTCACTGATGTGGAATTGTTTCCACAGTCTTAGTGATCTTTTCGTGCACCTTGGGGTTTGGCTCTGACTATTTTTTTAGGTTAAGTTCCTAGAAATATTGTATTTACAAGTCAGATTATGGATTTGTTGAAAGCTGCTTCTGGAGTAGTACTTTTGTGCTTTAACATATTCCTGTCAGCAGGAAGTAATGGTAGGGTGGACCTGGAGGTGGGCCCTGGGACTGGGCCTCTTTTTCTCTGAGCTGGGAGTGCTGATTAACTTCAGACTAGCTGTCTCTGGCTGAGATGGGTTACAGCCCACGTGACCAGACAGGGTTGGGCTTGGCTTGGCTGGGGGCTGGGTAGCCTCAGGAGGGATTGGTGAGCTCAGCCAGGCTGGAGCTGTGCCCAGTGAGCCATTCCCAGCCCCTCCTCTCCCTACTCCCCCATCCTCCCTCCTCCCTCCTCCCTCCCTGCCCCTGGACTTGGCCTGCAGCTTAGAACAGGCTGTTCTGCCTGTACTGCAGGAGAGGCAGATGAGGCCTGCATAGATGCAGATGATTTCCACTGTCTGATCTTGTTCTCTTTTCTCCCCATCAACATCTGGATTGCTTATGATTAACTAGAAGGTGATGGGACAGGCCCAGGGGAGTAGTTGATTATATTCATCTCTGATGTTGAATTCTTGTACCTGAAGTGAGGGGTGGACCCTGACAGTATAGTGTGGCATGTTTTCTTTTCCCTGGATTCCAAACTCTTTAGGGTCCCTGACCGTGCAGATGTTAAGAAGACCAAGTAGCAGCATCTTGATCCCTGAGCCCCAGCTTGGCTAGAAATGGCTGCTGGAGCCTGTGATGGTGAGAGGAAGTCTTAGCAGCAGGTGCTGCTGCTCTTGGGGCCAGGGAAGGCATGCCTTGGACTTCCCTTCCTAGTTCTCATTAGCATTGGAGGGTCTGGCACCCACCTGGAGCCCTGGAATGATAGGACTAGGGCTTGGAGCCCTGGCAAAGTCACCTGAAGCCACTTCAGCAGTCATACCCTTCTAGGCTGTGGGCTGTGGTTTGGGCACCCTAAAGAGGGAGCTCACGCCCTGACTAGACTCCTAAGTGCTAAGCTGTGTGCAGGACTTCTCAATTTCAAATAAGCAACGTAGGGAGGACCAAGAAGCTCTGTAGAAGAGCCTCAGGGAGGACCCCTGGAGAAGAGAGCAGGTGATCCTGGGGAGTTTTGTTTTTGTGTGTTTGGTTGGTCTTTTTGAGACAGGGTCTCCCTGTAGCCCCAGCTGACCTGGAACTCTATGTAGACCAGGCTGGCCTTGAACTCACAGAAATCCACTTGCCTCTGCCCCCCAAGTGCAGGGACTACAGGTGTGCACTACCACGCCTGGCTTTTTTGTTTTCTTTCTTTCTTTTTTTTTTCATGTGTGGTGCTGAGGATGGAGTTGAGGGCCTCCCACTCAGCCAGGCAGGTGCTCTACCCCCGAGCCTCCAGCCTGCTGTCAGCCTTCAAGGGAAGAGGCGGGGAGATCCCACTAGCCAGGGACCCTCCAGTGACTGCCTCTCGTCCTTGGTAGAATTCTGCCCCCTATATCCAGAGTGACCTCTGTCCTCACTGTCATTGGAAGGTTTTGTTGCCAACCTCTCAGTGCAGCGGCAGTTCTTCCCCACTGACGAGGATGAGTCTGGAGCTGCCAGAGCCCTGATGAGACTTCAGGACACATACAAACTGGACCCAGACACGATTTCCAGAGGAGAACTTCCAGGTAACCCATGTTTGCGTGTGTCTCTTCAGAGGTTAGATAGCTCAGAGAGAGACAGTGTAGTCATTGCTTCTGGCCTGATAATGCACTCCAGTTTCCCTTTGGTGCCAGTCTCCCATTGCCATGGCAACCACCTCCCCTTAGCCGCTGCCCCACTGTCTTGATCCAGGTATTAACAAGACCCTCTTCTCGAGTGTGTCAGAAAATGGAGGCTGTTGCTCCAGGAGCCCGTTGGCCTCTGTTCCCCAGAGCACTAGCAGTCTGCAGGCAAACTTGCTTCTATTCTGACTCTTGTGCTTTCTGTCTGAGGCTGATCTGTGGACTCACTGCTTCTGTCCTGTGTCCCCTCTGTTAGTCTTTGCCCCTTTTCGTTTGGTCCCTACCTTGTTGGACTCTCTTCTTGAGCTTATATGTAGTCATTCTGCCCTCCAGCTTCCTGTCTGTGTTCCTCCATCCCCCTGCGCTCACACAGAGGCCCTGTTCTTGCTCATCTCACGCTGCTCCCCTAGGTAGAAGGCTCTTCTGAGCTCATCTCTTCTCTTGCTTAGGCTTCTGGGTAGAAGGATTTACTCTTTCTCTGCCTCCCTGGTTCCCACATAGCCTTGCACCCACGTTGCCTTCATCCCTCCTGTCTGCTAATCCTGTCCTTCAAGGTTACCAGTAGCCACTGGACCAGTAAAGCCAGTGAACAACTTAGAGGCCTACTGCTCTTTAACTGCTCAGCAGTAGTTGAGTTGACACTGACTTCTGCCTGATATTCCCCTTTGAATCCTGGGGTGGTGATCTCTGCTTCATCTATTTTGACCTGTCTGGCCATTCATTTCCCCCCTCCTCTATTTTTGTTTTTTTAAACTAAGGCTTTGCCCTCTGATTCCATCAGTGCTAGTGTTTGAAGAGGATGTCCTGGGATTAGGGAGTTATTCGAGATAGTAAACCCAAGGATTCAATTGGACCTCGGTATACTTTAGAATCACCTCACCTCTGGGAACTCAGAGGAGACACAGCAGAGAGACCTAAGGGACGTGGACAGTTTCTTCCTCTTTAGGTTTTCTGTTACTGACTGGTCAAGGCCCAGAGCCTTGGCATGGAGGACTCTTGATGTGCCAACAGGAAGGCTGTGCACGCTTCTCCTTATTCCTGCCTCAGTCAGGTCCTGGCCAAGCCCAGCCATGAGGCCAGAAAGAGAAAGTGTATCTGGGAAGCTGTTTGCCCTGTGGCTGTGAGACAGTTGGTGGGTAGGGAGGAGCTGCATGCTGACATTGACCTTTCACACTCAGTTAGCAGACCCTTGAATGGGGGCAAGAGGGGAAAGGGAGTTACCTTCCAGAACTCCACCCACTGTTCTCCCTGAGCCAGTTCCCAGGTGAGCACAGTGGCTCTCATCAGTTGAGGTATTGCCATGCAGGGAGGACATGAAGATCTGTGTTTCCTGCTAAGGTGTGTGTCTTCTGGGCTTCCAACTAGGTTAGGCAAAGGCCTGTGGACTTCTCAAACTTCACATGTGCCAAGTTGTAATCCTTCTCTTTTTGAACTGTTTACTCTCCTTCCTTACCCATTATCTCAGCAAAGAGCACCTCTACCCTTTGATAGCCTAAGCCATAACCCTAAAGCCTGTGGATTCTGTCTGTCTAATGCCTTCTGTTGTTGTCCTCTGACTGTAGCCTCATGACCACTTCTTTCTCAACTGTGTTATTAAAACACTGTTCTGACCTTCATACCCCCAGCTCTCATAAGACGTTCTCTCTGTGTTCCTAAGCACGAATTTATCCACCTGGGTTCTTGGTCACAATGCTTAGCTTTCAGGGATGAACCAGAGTCTTCCTAGTGTGGCCTTTGGGGTCCTGCTACTTCCCTGGCCTCTGCCCATTGTTCTCAGCTTCCCCATTACCCAGCTCCTTTGTTCACATTCTTGGCATCCATGAGACTTGCTGATAATACCACCAGTCATTAATCTTCTGGGGCGACATCTTCTATCATTTCACTGAATTTTTGGCACCAGACTTTTAAAACTGATGGTGCTGTCTTTATTTACATAGATTCAGAGAGATGTTATCTCTTTATATAGGAGACTGAGACTTAGGCTGGGTAACTTGTTCAGAGTCAGACAGCTGGTAGGTATGCAGCAAGGTCCACCCTGGCTGTGTCCGCCCTGTCCAGAGCGTAGCTTGCTTTTCTATGTTACCCAGCCTCTGTTATGCTAGGTTCCTGGGCCTATAGAGTGACAAGTGGTCCATGGAGACCCCTGGCCTGCCTATAACTCCTTATATTTACTCTTCCTGACATTCTATTCCATGTTGCTTCCCCAGCCACCAGGATGAGCTGACCCTGGTCTCTGCAGCAGCTACCATCCTGCATCAGGGCTTCTTCTGGGAAGAGGCCCACGTGGACCCTAGGCAGAGTGCTGCCTGAGCACTTCTGTCATGTCAGCCATGTCTGAAGGCTGTTAACAGGGAGGCTCCCATGCTCTGCGAGGAGGGTCCTTGTTCTCTGGGGTCTGCTTCTCATAATTCTCTGAGGAACACAGTAGATCTCATCCTGAGGCTGTCCTAAGCCCTACATCTCTCTAGAGCTGCCTTGTCTTACTGGCTTAAGACTGTCTTCACAGTCACTTTCCACAGCAGACACTTCAGGTCGTGAAGCTGGACTGCAGCCTTGGCTCTTGGCCCCAGTGGTGTCTGTCAGCTACTCCCATTCCCTGTCTTTTCCTCTCAGTCCTTCTTGGTGTCACTCATTCTGTCTTTCTGGAGCCCTGACCCCGCACTTTCTGTGCTTTTCTTTCTTCAAACTCTGTGTGTGTGTGTGTGTGTGTGTGTGACTATCTTTATCCATGGCTTTCACTGCTACCTGTTCTATTGCTGAATTCATCTAAATTTTTTATCCTTCACTTATACAGCCAGCTCCCCCCAGGCACCCTCTACTTGAGACCCACAGGACCTCACACTGTCGCTAGCACAACATCTTGGTGGGCTTCTTGGACTTCCCATCACAGAGCCCCTTCTTACTTCAGAGGAGTATGTGGCTAGGAGATTGGCTCTGAACCCCAGCCCAGACTGGACCAGCCTGTCTGTGCTGACTGTACGGACAGCATTTCATGGTGTACAGTATAAGGCCTCGGTAGGCTTCTGCTTGGATAATGTCCCACTTCCAATGGCCCAAGCTTTTCCTTGAAATGAACAACTCTCTCCATAACCCAGAGTTCTTTGGAGCCTGACTGTTTACTTCTCTGGCTGCAGGAACCAAGTACCAGGCAATGCTGAGTGTGGATGACTGCTTCGGAATGGGCCGCTCAGCCTACAATGAAGGAGACTATTACCACACGGTATTGTGGATGGAGCAGGTGCTGAAGCAGCTGGATGCTGGAGAGGAGGCTGCTGTAGTCAAGTCCCAGGTGCTGGACTACCTTAGCTACGCTGTCTTCCAGCTGGGTGACCTGCACCGAGCCGTGGAGCTCACCCGCCGCCTGCTCTCCCTTGGTAAGGAGGTTAGGGACTGGAGCTAGCAAGGGAACTAGACTGCACTAGCCACACTGCTTGACCCCTCTGGAACTGAGTCACGTGGCCATGTCACCTGGCTAATGCCTTCATGATAGGCCCTTTCCAACTGCTAACTGGTTCCTCACCTATAGCCCTGCTATTAGTCCTTATCCAGTTGCTGATGGGTATTCCCAGGCCTGTGGCAGTATGTGTGTGCATGTGTGCAGGTGCCACTTGGTGTTCACTCTGTGTGTGTGTGTTGTGTGCATGTGTGCAGGTGCATAGGCATGTGTGTGCTGTGTGTATGTGTGTGTGTGCGTGTGCATGCACGCACAGGTGCACAAGCATGTGTGCTCACTGTGTGTTGTGTGTGTGTGCAGGTGCACAGGCACATGTGTGCTCACTGGCACTGTGTGTGTGCGTGTGCGCGTGTGTGCACGCTTGTGTGTAGGTACATGGGCACATGTGTGCTCACTGTGTGTGGTTTGTGTATGTGCAGGAGCAGAGGCACATGTGTGCTCACTGTGGTACCTTTTAAAGTAAGGACCTAGTGTTGTGGTGCCTCCACTATGCAGGGTGGAACCATCACTACATTAGGCACAGCTCAAGAGCAAGGCTGTGCTTTGGGGTTGCTGCACTAGCAATGACCGCAGCTGTTAGTCTGTTAGTCTGTGGACTGAAGTCTAGAGCAGGACTCACCATGGCATTGGGACTTTGCATGCCTTGTGATGTGGCACTGACTGATACCTGAAGCAGCGAGCCTTTGAGACCTGTCTGTCCACCTTACTAACACATGGGAATGTTGTCTGGAGTTGCGTAGAGCAGTGAGCACTGCTTTCCATGAGGTCCTGAGTGCAAAGTCAGTTAGCATTTGAGCATCCTGCAGGACCAGCCTGGGAGCAGAGCTTAGATTCTGTTATGTGGGTTAGTAAAGCCTTGGGCAGGGAGTCTGGACACCTGGATTCTTGTTTTGTGTAATCTCAATGTAAATCACTGAACATCTTTGGGCCTCAGTTTTCCTGTCTGGGGAATGGTATAGAAATCCTGCCATGCTTACGTCTTTGGATGCTATGCCGTCCACCATAGCTGTGATTCTTCTCTTTAAAATGTTTTTATTACATTTACTGTGTGTATATATATGTGGAGGGGGGCTACACAGGAGATGTGCATGTGATTAGGTAAGGGGAACTTATGGGAATTGGTTCTGTCCTTCTACCATGTGGGTCCTAGGAGTGAACTCAGGTTGTCCGGCCTGGCAGTGAGCACCTTCACCTGCTGGGCTGTCTTGCTGGCTCATGGCTGTTCTTTTTGCTAGTACCTCAGCTTCTCCCCTAGTTGTGGCCAGCATGTGATGTGATCATCAGTACTTCCTACACTCTGGGAACGGCTTTAAATAGCCACAGCCAAGCACGGGAGGAGGCAGGGCTCAGAGCTTTTGTGGAACCTGGGACCTTGGAACCTCCAGGGAGGTCTGAGAAGGAAGTCCCTTAGGATGCTGGCTAGGTGTACTCTGCTTTGAAGATGCTTCTCCCTCATATCTGGCCAAGATGAGAGCCTGTTGAGTTTTTGGCTCTGGCCGACACACTCTTGATTAGGTGCTGTAGCAGGCAGTGTGCAGCATACCAGTGGGCTGCTGGAAGAGAATCCGCTCACAGAATAATTTCTGTAAGTGACCTAACAGATATATGTGGTTTCCTTTTTCGTCTTTTTTGCTTCTTCTAGACCCAAGCCATGAGCGAGCTGGAGGGAATCTGCGGTACTTTGAGCGGTTGTTGGAGGAAGAAAGAGAAAAAACATTGTATAATCAGACAGAAGCAGGACTAGCAACCCAGGAAAATTTCTATGAGAGGCCGGTGGACTACTTGCCTGAGAGGGATGTCTACGAGAGCCTCTGTCGTGGGGAGGGTATCAAACTGGTGAGATCCGGGAAGGGGCAGGGTAGCCAGGCTGGAGATTTGGACACTGGTTTGGGTAGGCAGCGTAAGGTAGAAGTTCTGTCTGTAGGCACTGTCTCAGCATCTCCTCAGTTCCCAGGGCATCTGCTGAGGCCGATGGGTGGATGTACAGTATACTCTGCGGGGTAGGACAGGATACTATCTCCCCTGAACCTCCAGGTAGAATTCCCAGCAGGTAAAGGTGCTTGCTGCCAGGCTGGACAACCTGTTTGGTCCCAGGGACCTGCATGGTGGAAGGAGAGAAGCACTTCCCACAAGTTGTTCCCTTACCTCCACGTGTGCACCATGGCATGTGCACATACATATGTGTGCATGCATGTACACACGCACACGCACCCAGTGTAATAATTGCTGTACTCCTCACTAACCCCAGTGTGCCCAACTATTGTTTGACTCACTGGTGTGGGGAAATGGTGGGTGTGGATGTGCCTTAGGTCCCCAGGGAAGTCATGGTGGGGTAAGTCTCAGTGGTAGAGAGGCAGCACTTGGTGGGCTTGGTCTCTGTGATGCAGACTTTTGAGAGCCATGATATGAAAGAGACTCCTGCCTGCCTTTTCCATGCCCTCTAATTGGCTCCCACTGGCTCCTCCTCTGGTGAGGCTTCTCTCCACCCTACCCTTCAGACCTATTCAGACCTCCATGAAATGTCAGGAATCATCCTCTGCCACAGGACTTGTGAAGATGAGATGAACTTGAGAGGGAAGGAGAATAGCATGATTTGTGTGATGTCACTTCCTGCTTTTGTTTTCTTCTGTGGCAAGGCAGAGGGAAAAGCTTTGGCCATCAAGTGTGAGACCAGTGTGTGCAGATAACTGGGCTGGGGCTGAGGGTGAGGACTTACTTGGCTCAGCACCTGTGCTCTGTGCTCCCCAGACGCCCCGGAGGCAGAAGAGGCTTTTCTGTAGGTACCACCGCGGCAACAGGGTGCCACAGCTGCTCATTGCCCCCTTCAAAGAGGAGGACGAGTGGGACATCCCGCACATCGTCAGGTACTATGACGTCATGTCCGATGAGGAGATCGAGAGGATCAAGGAGATTGCGAAACCCAAAGTAGGTGCACTCAAGCGGGCTCCATCCCCTGTCGCTGCCCCTGTGGGGTGGTTTGTCTGCTCACTGATTTGGTCTCATCAGTGACTAGCATGAGTCTGTAGACATGCTGCAGACTCAGCCTTACCTGTATGTTAGCGGCTTAGTAGGGAAGGACTAAGGACTGCAGGGAGGACTGCGAGAGGACTGTGGGGTTGGGGAGGACTGTAGGGAGGGGAGGACTCCAGACGGGGAGGACTCCAGGGAGGAATGCAGGGAAGGGAGGACTGCAAAGAAGTGGCTGACTTGGAGGAGAATGTGCATCTGTACAGTCTGTGCCTCTTCACTGTACTTGCTCATTATGTTTTCAATGTGTAAATGCCTTGGACATATTGTTAAGCTTATTCATCAGTGTGATTGTTGTCGTAAATTTGCTTCTTTGCTCTATTATAACTGGTTACATTGCTGTATTAGTGCGCTGTTACTGTGCTGGGTAGCTTCAGGTGTCAACTGGACACACCTGGGAAGAGGGGGCCCTTATTTGGGGAACTTCTTTATTGGGTTGACCTGTGGCCATGTCTGTGAGGCATGTTCGAGGTTGCTGGTTGATGTGGGTGGGCCCAGCCCATTGTGAGTGGTACTACTCCAGGCAAGTGGTCCTGAGTTGTATAGGAAAGCAGCTAAGCATGGGCCAGGGGAGCAAGCCAGTAAGCAATGCTCCTCCATAGTCTCTGTCTCAGTTCCTGCCTCCGGGTTCCAACTCCGCTTAAGTTTCTGCCTTGGCTTCCCTCAGTGGTGGACTGTCACTTGGAAGAGTGAGATGCAGTAAACCTTTTCTTCCCCAACTTACTTTTGGTCATTATTTTGTCAAAACAACAGAAACTAGGACAGAAATTCTAAATTATTTTTTCATGGCTACTGACTTGCTGTGTAGCTGAGGATGACTTCTGAGCCTCCTGTCTCTACCTCCCTGAGTGCTAGGGTTACTGTTGTAAACCATTACTCCCAATTTGTGCAGTGCTGGGGATCAAACCCAGGGCCCTGTGCATGCTGTTGGCATGTACTCTACCAGCTGAGTTGCATTCCTAGTCTGATATGCTAAACTATTGATTTTAAAAATTGATCTCATAGTAATATCAATGTTTAATAAGTTTATAGGTATGGCCGGACCTGTCCCCAGTGTTTAACATGTATGAACTGTGCTGTTTGTTAAGTAAACTCCATCTCTGCTTTCCTCCTCCCTTGAGGAAACTGACTTGTGTAGGCATAGATCATCAGTAGTGGTTGAACTCATTCCTTGATTTTTTTTTTTTAAACTGACTTTCTTGGGTTGTTTGATAGTATTATTACCTACAAGCAAGGAAAATTTCATTTTACCCTTCCTAATGGATATACTTCCTTTGCTTTGAGTCTAACGAGCTACCCAGAACTTCTAGAGCATTTTTACAGTAGGATTGTCTTGTTACTGAATAGTCTGGAAATTCATATTTCACTGCTAAGTATGCAGCAAATATGGTTCTCTGTCTATGTCTTGTTACAAAATTACTCGTTTATTTTTAGTCCATAAAATATTTGGTCTCATTTAACCTTCCTGAGAGAACATGCTGCCATTTCCCTAGCTCTCTCCAGTCACAGGTGGTGGGGAGGGAGGATTTAGCTGGTTCCTCCATTGCTTTGTTCCTAATAGAATTGTAGTGTCCGAGGGAGCCAGGAGCCTCAACACTCATGGACAGACCTAAAATCGGTTCCTGTTGTGACCTCTGGGGCTCACCTTGTAACAACCTTGGCTTGAGATCCAAGGACATGAGAACACTGACAGGGTCTTTTGTTAGTGCCACTGATGTGGCTGAGGGTTGGTCTAGCTAGTGTGTGTGGAGAATTGTAACCGGGACCTTCACTCCCTGGTCAGTTCCAAAGCCTTCCAGGGAAGAAAACTACTTTCCTGGTTTCCAGCTGAGGGAGCTTTGTCTTTCTAAATCTCCAGAGAGACTCCTTACCTGCCCCAGTTTCGGACACTGAGCATTTCTCTGTATGCACCCATATGTGAGCCACAGAGTTGGGAAAACTTGTCTTTGAACAGGAACCATGTGACAGGCCAACACATTGGCCATCATAAGCTGACCTCTCCTTTCTGGAGGTCAAGAGGGACAGATGCTATTCTGGCTTTGAAGTGGGGCCAGTGAGCTTAGCTTAGCTTGTGGGGAATGCCTGGCAGCTGTCTATGAGTCCCCAGTCTGCTTTCAAAATAGCCCTGTCTGTCCCCAGGGCAGAGCACAGCTGCCCAGAATCTTTTTTGGGCACAAGGCCAATGCTGAAGCTCAGATGTTTGCACAGGGTCTGATTGTGGAAGTGGCTGTCATCAGGTAGAGACAGGGGCATCCACCAAGCTCAGAAAAGGCCCACAGATAAGAGCCTAGCCATCTGTCCTGGGTGTGCTAGGTACCATGTTGATATTAAGGCATATTATAGAGGCACAATGTCCAGGTGGATCAATTCACCTCCTGACCAGACTTCTGGTCTGGCTCCTCCTTCCTGTCCCTCCTGCCATCTCCAGGCCCAGGCCACTGTCATCTCTTGCTCTCATCTCTGTTGTGCCTCCTCACTGGTCTTCTTCCCACTCTGGCCTCTCCTTAGTCAGTGTTCCATAAAGTGACACAATGGTCCTTCTAACCTTCCACTGCAAGTGTCTCTCCCTGTATAAGGTCTTCCCTGCCTCTTGTCGGCCATAAGGTACCAGCAGACTCTGGCCCCTGCTTGCCTCCAGTCTCTTCTCTTCTCGCTATTTCATAGATCATCTTCATCCTGCAGTCAGTGTCCTAATTCCTGGTCCTCCGCACCCCTGCTCCTTCCCTGCTCCTGTAATGTACAGCTTCCAGCTGCATGGTCTCCAAGGACTGTATCCTTCAGCTGAGCTACCACAGGACATTAAGCTCACCCATGCTATCCTGCAATTTACTTGGCAAGTTTTCTGCCTTCTCTACTTGAGTTATCTGAGGGCAGGGGGCATGTCTTAGTCACCCAGCATAGCGCCTGGCACATAGTAGGCACTTATCAGAGATTGATTAGAATCAATGGGAAGTATTATTCTGCTTGTTCCAGTCTTCCTGAATATACCCTTCCTTGCCAGGACTCCATCATGTGAGGCCATTAGGATAGTCCACAGGTAAGGCATTTTACCCCCTTACCATGGAGGCCAGCTCTGGGCAGTAGATCCCTCCTGACAGTACTATTAAACCGTTTATGGAGACTGGGGAGATGAGGTAAAGGAAGTATACGTGTGTGTGTGTGTTTGTGTGTGTGTGTGTGTGTGTGTGTGTGTGTGGGTGTGTGTGTGTGTGTGTGTGGGTGTGTGTGTGTGTGTGTGTGGGTGTGTGTGTGTGTGTGTGTGGGTGTGTGTGTGTGTGTGTGTGGGTGTGTGTGTGTGTGTGTGTGGGTGTGTGTGTGTGTGTGTGTGTGTGTGTGTGTGTGTGAGTGTTGATGTCCAGGGACAGGGAGCTTCTTGATTGCGGTCTACTTACTTCAGTGTATGGATTCCCGTTGCTTTCTCATCTGACTTTAGGAGGCTCCAGGGAAGTGAGTACCACCACCTGTCTTCCTACTAGCAGTGGGACCCCAGCTGGACAGTGTTTGGATGGCTTTCTTAGCTGAAGGATGGAAAAATTTGACCAAGTCAAGGCCCAGGTTGAGGCTCAGAGGTGATGGCCCAGTCTGAATGTGGTGGGAGCAGTTAAGCCTAGGCTGTGCTCAGCTAGGCATGCTATGACCTGGCAAGGAAGGTCACGTGTAGGCAGATACTTGAATAGACAAGCAGAATCCATAGGCGTGACTCTGCAGGCAGCACAGACCTGGGTAGGAGAAGGGATGAGTAGTAAGCAAGCAGGGTAGTGGTCAGGGTCTTATAGCACAGAGGAAGTGGAGCCTTGGACTTGTACTGTGGCCTGGCCTACAGTATCATGAGACCTTGGCTAGAGCCACTATGCAGAGGTGCTTTCCCCACTGATGTGGCTAGCCCATCTGGCCCCAGTGTTCTCTCGGAAAACACCCAAAGGCCAAAAGGATAAAAAAGCCCTCTCTTTCTGACTTCCAGCTCGCACGAGCCACTGTTCGTGATCCCAAAACAGGTGTCCTCACTGTTGCCAGCTACAGAGTTTCCAAAAGGTAAGCAGAGGTGGTGGTGCTGGGTTGGCTGTCCAAGCCCAGCTCTGGAGCATCCTAGTGCAGACAAGGGAGGATGACTGGCTTATCCCCCCTGCTGCACCTCCTTGCTCTCTCAAACACTCACCCTGTACTGCCTGTTAGTGCTGACCTTGACTGGGAAGGTCACAGACCTCATCCAAATCTGCCCTTCCCTTTTGTCTTTTCTCTGCTCTTTTCTTTGGCCTAGCTCCTGGCTGGAGGAGGATGATGACCCTGTAGTGGCCCGGGTCAACCGTCGGATGGAGCACATCACGGGGTTAACAGTAAAGACTGCAGAATTATTGCAGGTAAGTTGGCTCGAGGGCCAGAGGAGTTGGGAAGGTTGTACTCTTTGGCCGTATGGTCTCCCAAGGTGCCCGGACTGTGTTGGGACGACTTGCCTGTTGGATTCGCTGCTCTTTTCATCACTGACAAAATATTGAACAGAAGCAAAGGGAAGAGAAGTGTAATTCAGCTCGAAGCTTCAGTCCGTCTTGTTGGGGAAGCAAGGCAGCAGGCACTTGTGGCATGGCTCATTCACATCTTGATGGATCAGGAAGCAGATAGCTTGGGCTGGCCAGAATCAATGGTGGGTATTACCTTCAAGGCCCACACGCAGTGGCCCAAAGATTCCACAGCCTCCCAGAACAGTCCCAGCAACCGGGAATCAGTGGTTTACATACATGAGCCCAGGGGGGATATTTTACATTTCAGCCATGTCACCTGTAACATACAGAACAGCACAATGAATATGAAACCGGAATTGATTATGCCTCTTTCATTCAACAAATATCAGTAGAACATCTGTGTGCCAAGTGTCCTACTAGGAGCTCAGTATCAGTGGTGAGTGTGCCAGGCTCATTCATGGCTTCATGACTATGGATGCTCACACACCAAGTTCCAGGTACTTATTTTACAGTAGTTCCCTGTCATAAATGCACTTGCAGATACACTGAGGTGCTATGTGATGTGTTGCTAGAAGAACAAGGCCTGCACTGGAATGCTCTGGTTTAAATGCTCCCATTGGGAACCCTGGCTTCCTGCCTTTATTTCAAAGGTGGTTTATAGAGACACATGGCAGCACCATGCTGAATGGTTTGGGGTAGAGTTCTTTCCTGATGTGTCCTTGCGAGTATGGAGTTCAAATCATCACTGCCCATGCTCCCTTCTGAACGGTAGAATAGAATGCGTTCCTTTGTAAAGTGGATGACTTGTGACTGGCACCATCTAGTTCCCTGGATCTTTTGCCTGGCTGTGTAAAGATAGTAACTTTGTTAGTTATTTTTCTTTTTATGACAAAATACCTGACATTAAGCAGCTTCAAGAAGGAAAGGGTTGTTCTGGCTTATAGGTTGAGGGTGCAGCCCATTGTGGTGGAGAGAAGGCATGGTGGCCGGAGGTTGGGTGGCTGGTCACATTGCACTTGTATTCCAGAACTACAGAGAGAGGAATGCTGGTGCTCAATTCACTTTCTTTTTTCTTTAGCCTCAGACCCCAGCCCATGGAATGGTACTGACTACATTTGGGGTTAACCTGATCTAGATTATCTGTCTCCGTGGTACCCAGAGATTTGTTTCTATGGTGACTTTAAATCCTATCAAGTTGACAGTCAAGGTTAACCATCACAGTGACCTTCACTTTTAGACTTGGCAGATGGTTTTGATCTTCATATTTAGGTCGGACTAGCCACAGGTCTCATTAGACTAGCTTTTGAAGATCATTTGGAAAAAAATTCTCCTAGACTTTTGCCTGGATACATCCAGATAAATCAGCTTACCCCTTCCTCCAGTTTGTTTTTCAAATTGCATCATGAGTTAGAAAATCAACTTTGGAGATCATTGTAAATTTGGGTGAAGTCCAGCATAGGTTTCCAAAATCTTATTACCTTGCAGAGTCTTGTAAACCTTTTTTATAAGTTTGTTCAGTTCAATCAACTCCCTTTTCTGATTTCCAAGTAAATTTTGCAGATAAACACACCAGTCTATAGCTTCTGCCCCAGCCTCCCCTTGCCTTGTGTGTGTGAGGACACCACCACGCAGGAGTGACAGGAGCTTGCCATGCATTAGACACGGACCTGTTGGCATTATCTTGAGTCATGTATGCATGTGTATGTTTGTATGTGCATGTGACTGCATGTACATGTGCATATGCACGCATCTGCGGCCATGTATGTTGAGGCCAGAGGTCAGCCTCATCTGTTGTTCCTCAGGAGCTGTCCACCTTGTTTTCTGAGGCAGGGTTTCATTGACTGGAGTTTGCTGATGAGGCCAGTCTGGCTGGCCAGTGAACCCCACAGATCCTCCTGTTTCTGCCTCCCTAGTGTTGGGGTTACATGCTTGTGCTATGATGCCTGGATTTTTCATATGGGTTCTAAGGATTTAACTGAAGTCCCTGTGCTTGCCTGGCAAGTACTTTACCAATTCAACCATCTTTCAGCCTGTGTTTTGTGCTGCTGTTTTTAAGCTATTTGCCCTGCTGCTTCTACATCAGGGCTGGTGTTCAGGATCTCACGACAACTGGCTTGATTTGCTGACTTCATACCCTGAACCACAGGGCTGAGTAGACAGGACCTTAGCCTGTTTGATTTGATTTCCTGGCTGGCTTCCCAGCGGCACTCTGAGCACCTGTCTCACCCTCAACTATGGAAGACAGAGGCTTCGTGTTATAGCCTGGCTTCTGTGTCACAGCTTGCCTTCGTCCTGTCTGGCGTCTCATTGTATATAGTTTAATCATCTGATGTCTGAATGTCCAGTTCTCAGTCGGGGGCTCTTAACAGTCAGGACTCTTCTGGGAGACTCAGCCTGTCCCTGCAGAATGGCTAAGACACCATTTTTGTTTGCAGTCCTCATTTTGTTTCTTTTGCCAGCCATCAGTGCTGTGAAAGCTTTACTCCTTCCCTCTGATCTGGGGTGTATGTGCACATGTGCACAGGTACACACATCCCTGGATTGAAGCACCTGCCTCTAAATGCTCACCCCTCAGGGACTACTTGCGGTGTGATAGGAGACTAGGTACCAGCAACAGTCCTCATATCAGGGCCCCTTTGGAGACCATGCAGGCTTCTGGGAAGATGCTGGTTCTGTCAGCTTTGATCTCTATCTGACATGTTTGGACATTTGATTAGAAGAATTAGTGAATGAAAAGCATGCCATCATCTACTGCTTCTGCTTTCAAGACTCCTGCGCCAGCAGCACCTGAAGCCTTGCCGGCAGCGGACGGGTTGGTGCTGGGAAACAAAAAGACAATTGAGACTTTCTTGTGAACTGTATGAGGGACTTTTAACTGATAAAAGAGGAAATGCCTGACCTCCAGATCCCCTGCGATTCCAGATTTCTGGCTTGATAATGTCTCAGTCTCACCAGAAAAGTAGTTTCTAACCTTGGTTTTGTCTTCACTCTGACCTCAGCATCATAAATACCTACATCTTTCAGATGGCTGACTACCTTGTAGCAACTAGCCAGTGATTCACATCAATATGCTAATGAACAGGGCTCAATTCTGATGAGAGTTGCTTGTCCGAGGACTGAAGTTTGCTAGGAGGGTGAGTCTGACTGGTACAGACCCTGGGGCTCCCATGACTTTTGTTCCTATTTGGGGACAGCTGAGGAGTGTAGGCACAGTGACCTCAGCACATGACCACATCCATTAGTTCTCCAGCTGTTAAAAGACGAGCCGGCTGTAGCATGCAAGATCTACTTCCTAGGACTCGAAAGAGCAGTCACAGCTGAATCCTCTAGGCACAGTGGTGTCTAGAATTTTCTTCATGTTTTTCCCCAGACTAGATCCAAAGAAAATATGTGTTTGTGAGATGGTTCATAGTAGCGCTTCCCTGGCTAAATGCCCCTCCAGCATTAGTGTCTGCTGCACCAGCCCGTCCGCTGCCGGCAAGGCTTCAGGTGCTGCTGGCGCAGGAGTCTTGAAAGCAGAAGCAGTAGATGATGGCATGCTTTTCATTCACTAATTCTTCTAATCAAAAGTCTTTTTTTAATTTTAACTTTATTTTCATCTATTTATTTTTGCATGTATCACATGTGTGTCCTAGTTCGCTTCCTGTTGCTAAAGCATTCTGACCAAAAGCAAGCTGCGGAGGAAAGCATGTGTTTCATCTTACACTTCACTGAGGGAAGTCAGGGCAGGAGCTCAAGATAGGAACCTGGAGCGGGAACTGAAGCAGACCATGGAGGAGCGCTGCTTATTGGCTTGTTTCCCCTGGCTTGCCCAGCTCCTTTCTTGGACAGCCCAGGCCCACCTGCCCAGGGATGTCACCACCCTTCGTTTGCTGGGCCCTCCTACATCATCCACTAGTAATTAAGAAAATGCCTCACAGACATGGCAAGCACTGAGCCGTTTCCCCAGCTGAAATTGTTGTATTTGTTGATAGTGAGGACTCTGATACCCCTGACTTGTATTCCATCACATTTGGCAAATATGCTTGTGTCAGGTCAGAGGAGTCCATCTTCTGTGAAGTCCGCACTCCCTTTTTCTCCTCCAATCCAGAGGACTCCTCTGTTGTCAGCAGTTCTGTGGTGTCTGTTGACTGCTGGCATTGCCCAACAGGGTATGCAGACTACCAACTGGAGCCCCAGATGCCTGTAGGGTTTGTGAGACAGAGGCTGCTGCTTCTGGAGAGACACTTGTGCCACCCGGTCATCAGCTTCCGTGTCCTAGTCTGTACTTTGTCTTAAACCCTGTCTGCCTCATAATGTGTCAACTGGAGCAACAGTAACCGCCATGATTCAGCCGATAATTGTTCACAAAGGTAGTCACAGTTTCTTAAAAATGTTTTATGTTTGTTTATTCATTTAGTGGTGGTAGGGGTGTGGCATGTGCCATGGTGTGCATGTGGCTGCCAGAAAACAGCTTATGGGAGTTGGTTCTCTTCTTTCATCATGTGGTGCCAAGGATGGAACTCAGGTTGTCTGGCACTGTGGCAAGTGCCTTCTCCTGCTGAGCTGTCTCTGCAGCCTAGCATTTACAGTTTCAGATCTTTTAATGACATCTGGCACTTGCTATGCCCCAGGCTCCTTCTGGAGGTACTGAGATGGTTGAGTGGCCTGACAAACAGCCGCTGGGAAATGGTAGTAGTTCACTTCAAATCTAATATTAAAAAGGAAAAGTGTCCAGCCAGGTGAGGTGGCAGCGCTTATAGTTCCTACTTGGGAGGCTGCTGCAGGAGGGTCACGTGAGCCTAAGAATTTGATCCTAGTCCTTGCAGCATAGCAAGACTCTGTCTCAGAAAACAACTCAGTCTTGAGTTTGTTGTTGGCTGTTCTCTGGATTATTTTTTCTCATTGTCTCTCAAATAAAAAGGGTCCCCGGCCAGGCCTGCTTCCAGAAGTGTTCCGAGAAGGGCTTGTGCAGGGCTGGAGAGCTGGCTCAGTGGTTCACAGCATTGGTTGATCTTGCAGAGAACAGCCAACCTTAACTCCAGTTCCAGAGGATCCAGCGCTCCCTTGACCTCTGCGGGCATTGTATGACACTGGTGCATTTACGTACATGCAGGGAATATACTCATACACATAAAAATAAAATAAAAATAGGGCTGGAGAGATGGTTCCACGGTTAAAAGCACTGCTGCTCTTGCAGAAGACCCAGGTTCAATTCCCAACACCCACATGGCAGCTAACAACTGTCTGTAACTCCAGTTCCAGGGGATCTGACACACTCTTCTGACTTCTGCTGGCATTGCACAACATGGGTGTACTTGCACACATGCAGGCAATACGCTCATACTCATAAAATAAAAATAAATAAAATAAAAATAATGAATAAAAATATTTAAAGAAGGGCTCTGTGTGATGCCTCTGCCATCTTGAGTATCCCTGAATGGCTGGAGCTTCTCCATAGTGGCCCTGCAAGCCTCCAATCTTGTTCCTTTTGGGAAACCACATTTGTGGTGCGGCCTCACTCTAGACAAATCTGTAGACATGTTTATAACACTTGCTCAGCTGTGCTGGCAGGACATGGTGGTGGTCTCCTTAAAAAGGTTGGGGGTTGTTGGGGAGATAGATGGCTCAGTGAGTGAGGGTGCTTGCTGTGCAAGCATGAGGAGTTGTTGGAGCCCAAGCACCTGTGAAAAGGAGACATGTCTACTCATGCACCGATAACTTCAGCACTGTGAGGGCAGAGGCAGGAGGATCTCCAGAGCTTCCTGGATGCCAGCCAACTCCAGGTTCATCGAGAGGCCCTACCTCAGAGGAGTAAGGTGGAGACTGATAGAGCGGGCCCATGTCCTCCTGATCCCATCATACACGCACATGAGCATACACTGCACATGTATACCACACACATATGCCTCTGCCCTCCCCACAGGTTGCGTCTGTCTGTGCTACTGACAAGTCCAATACTGATCTCTTTCACAGGTGGCAAATTATGGAATGGGAGGACAGTACGAGCCACACTTTGACTTTTCTAGGGTAAGGCTCCAATCACAGATCTTTTCAGAGGGCCCTGCTCTGGTTGACTTGAGAAGGCTGGAGCTTCTAGAAGCATTTCAGCCTCCACACCATCCCACTTGAAATGCAGAGGACCTTCCTAGGTCTCTGTGAAAACTGGTCCTAACCTCTTTCCCCTTCCCTGTGCTCTGGTCAGAGTTTTCTTTGCAGCCTTGTCCCATGATCCTGCTGTTCTGTGGCAGAAGGCACACTTACTACCATCCCCTGACCCTTTGGGCCCCAGTACTTTGGGTGGTGGGTAACTTGGTTGCAAACTTGGGTGAAAGTTGTTGTCTGTTGCAGCGACCCTTTGACAGCGGCCTCAAAACGGAGGGAAATAGGTTAGCGACATTTCTTAACTATGTAAGTACTGGGTCCAGGCCCGCTCCTTCACTCTCACTTAATTTTATAGAGCGATGAACAAGATGCTTTCAAGCGTTTAGGGACTGGGAATCGTGTGGCCACATTCTTAAACTACGTGAGTATGATGTGTGCATCTGATGGGCCCAAAGGAGACCCTGGGTCCAGAGGGCTCTCTTATATCCCACCCCACCAGGCTGATGGCAGTGGCCACTGCACAACAGTACAGTCCCCTGTTCCTCAGCACCCTCCTTAGCTAGAGAGGGTTGGCCTTTGTTCCTACCTGCGTGCCTCCTTCCTCCTACCCCTACCAGGAATTTATCCCTGGCTACTTTTTTCCTCAGAACTTTTTTTTCAATTGTGGTAAAATGTATGTAACATAAAAATTACCACCTTAACCATCCTTTAGTGTGATTCAGTAGTATTAAATACAGTCCTAATGTAGAACTATCACCACCATCTGTTACCCCTTAAGTCTTCTCGCCTTGTAAAACAGAAACTCTATTTCCATTAAACAGTAATTCCAGATTCCATTCCCCTAGTCCTTGGCACCTGCCGTGCTTTTGCCTTCATGATTCTGACTCCTCAGACCGCATAACCTCATCTGAGTGGAGTCATGGGATATTTGTATCCTGGCTAATTTCACTAAGTGCAATGCCTTTAAAATGTGTTTGTGTGGTGGCATGTTCTGCTTCCTTTTTGATGGACACAGTACTACTGTGGACTTTGGGAACCAGGGCCATTGTGGAGGACAACGTCCTAGTAGCAGAGTGTGGAGATGGCCATGAGGTGCTCGTAGATGGAAGCCACCCTTGTTTCCTACCTGCTGCCTCACTCCATAGGCTATTGAGAATGTGTTTCCTCTTCCTTTGCTGCAAGGGCCAGCTCTAAAGAGCCATAGAGGCTGTCAAGGAACTTAGAGGCACAAGTTTATTTTTTCCTTTTCCTTTTTAATTATGTGCTGGGGACTGTGTCGTGCACTCACATTGGTGACTTAAGACCTGTGTGGTCTCCATTGAGACATCTGAGGTCTAATCTGGAGACTCACTTGGAGCACAGGAGAGAGTGTTATTTAGTTACCAGGGAGACAAACAGTGAAGTAGCCCAGGCTTGGGGTTCAATCAAGGCCTCATTTGGGAAATAGCATGTCAGTTGAGACTTGAAAGTTGAATGGAAATTTGTGGAATATGTTTTTTGGCAAAGAAGAAGGTGTGTGGGGGGTGCTGAAAGAAGTTTGAGATGCTGGAAAAAAAAAAAACAGAAAAAGGTTAGTGTGTCTGGAGGGAGAGGCAGGTGAGACTGACGGGCTTTGGGGTTTCCCTGGGTTTGGTCCCCAGCACTGGGAAAGCCATTGGGGATTTTCATCTCATTCATTTATCATATGTCTGCCAAGTCCCCTCCACTTCAGTCTGGTATGTGTCCTATGGAAAATTTTTAGCTCCAATTTTTATTACAGTAAGAGAATTAACTTGAAGCAAGAGAGGCAGACAGAAAGAAGTAGTGCTTTGGCATGGGTTGAGGCATGCCGTGAGGGTGCGGTGCAGTCTTGCCGCTGTGGAGATGTGTACAGTCTAGTTTCAGCCTCACCATGGGAGAAAGAAGGGCAGAGCAGAGGGTGGCATTCTGGGAAGGTGAAGTTGTGACTTGAGCTTCTAGAGCTGGAGACATGGCCACAAAGGGAAGGGGACATTCCTGGGGGTGAAAGCCACAGTGAGCTCCTGGACAGAGCAGTTGGCTGAACCCAGTGGCCTAGGCAAGGTTCAGGCCAGGTAAGGATTTAAGATGCAGTTAAGATGGGCTTTGTCTAAGTAGACTCGGGTAGTTCCTCTTCAAGGGTAGCCTGGATGTGGCTGTTCTGGAGACTTGCTCTCTTAATTGTCCCTGGTATAGAGACAGTCCTGATGAAACACACAGATTAAGCTGGGTGTGGGAAGAGAGTGTCTTGGCTGAAGGGCTAGCCATGGAGCAGAGCCTCTAGGCTGTGCTATGCATGCTTGGTGCAGGGTGATCTGCACTCCTTGTCATGCCCTTTGTGACTTGGTTCCTCCACCATCCTTGGGCAGAGAGGTCAAGCTCTGTGCTTTGTGTTCCCAGATGAGTGATGTAGAAGCTGGTGGTGCCACTGTCTTCCCTGACCTGGGGGCTGCAATTTGGCCTAAGAAGGTGAGTATGATTCTTCAGGGTCACAGGTTGAAGCAGGGATCAGACCTTGTCCATGTCCCCAGTATATTGCTGGCTAATTGACTGTCAGTATGATGTGCTTTAGTCCCACCCCACCTACACCCTGGACTGTGGTCCCAACTTCTACCCAGGGAGAAGGGATGGGGAAGGTAGTCTCTTCAGGGGCAGGTAAGTTCTGAACTTCCTCCCCACCTTGAAGGATAGGTGCTTTGGGACTTCATTGCTGGAGTCCCAGAGCCCTGTGCCAGTGAACGTAAGAAGAGGAGGGTGTTCTTACTGAGGGAGGGGGTTCTAGTGTGCCTGGACACAAGTTCCTGAGCCCAGTCTCTAGGATGTACTCTCACAAGCTGTCTCTCTCCCAGGGCACAGCTGTATTCTGGTACAACCTTCTGCGGAGCGGAGAAGGTGACTATCGAACAAGACATGCGGCCTGCCCTGTGCTTGTGGGCTGCAAGTGGGGTGAGTGGCTTGAGGGGAGTTGATGGTGGTGACTCCAGCCTGAGATTTGATGGTTGACCTTAGAGCCAGAGATGGGGGACAACTGCCAGATCCGAACATCACAAGACCATCTCTGAAGGTTTTCTCTGCTTACTGATAGCACCATCTGGCTGTGGTTAGGTACCAGCACAGCTGATTGTGGATACTCAGAGATGCCCAGAGAGCAGAGGAAGTCTGGGCTGCATAAGCACCATGGGTGCAGGGTAGCCCTCCAGAGGAGTGGGCTCTGGCAAGGGTTTTAGTGGAGCACAGGGAGAGCTGGAAGCAGAGAGGGGAAAGGGTGTCATGGGCCAAGAAGACCAGCACGGCTACAGCCAGCATCAGATGTTACTGGCTGGGAAGAAGAGGTTGTACAGTGTAAATCTAATCCACTTCATGGCTCAGGGGCAACAGTAATATGGCATGTGTAAACACTGCATGTTAATTTTAACTAAAATTTATCATTTCACTATCTATGCTGTTAATTGGTATATGTTATAAGCCTTCTAGACAGTGTCTTCAGAACAGGTGTTAAATTTTTTTTTTAATTTCTGACTTCATTAGTGCTTACTTTTTTTTTAAGTACATTTATATATAGCTGGGTGTGGTGGCACATGCCTTTAATCTCAGCAGAGGCAGAGGCAGGCAGATCTCTGTAAGTTCAAGACCAGCCTGGGCTACAAAGTGATTTCAAGGCCAGCTAGGGCTACAGGAGACCCCGTCTCAAAAAGACCAAAAAAAAAAAAAATTACATTTATGAGGCTTGGGTTCAGAGCACTGGCTGGTCTTGTAGAGGACCTGGGTTTTGTTCTCAGCACCCACATGGGGCAAGCAGTCTGTAACTCCAGTTTCAGTGGATCCCATTCCCTCTCCTGGCCTCTGTGGGCACTGTACACACTGGTGCACTTACATACCTGCAGGCAAACACTCATACACATAAAAAATAAATTCAAAATACTACATTTATTTTTCATGTTTAAGTGTGTGCTTATGTGTTTAGGTGCACATGCCATAGTGTGCATGTAGAGTTTAGAAAACAACTTGAGTAAGTTGATTGCCTCCACCATGTAGGTCCCGGGGATTGAACTCAGGTCATCATGCTTGGTGGCAAGCCATCTCACAGGCCCTACTTACTCCATATGAAAGAGCCCACATTGGAGGAACAGAGTCCCGGTCCACACCCGTGTGACAGGGCAGTGCCGGTACCTGCTGTATCGCTATGGTGTCCATTGCACAGCACAGAGATTCTGTCTTCCAGCTCACCTGGCCTGAGGCTAATGGCTAGACCCTACACCATGCTGACAAGCTTCCCCATCTCTGCCTTTCGGTTTCCAAATGCCACGGTCCCAGGAGTGTCAGACTTCTTGCCGTCCTTCACACTCACCAGAGTGGCTCCTGCCTTGAGGACTTTCTGTACCCTACCCTACTTACCGTGGGAACCATTCGATGTGTCCACTTCTTCCTGGGGTAGATTCTGTTGAACTTCATATTCTAGCCATCAGTGCTGCTCATCCTTAAAGCCATCAGATGCCCTTTTGCTCTGTTCCCATGGCAACCTGCACCCACACATCATATTACAGGTAGAATTTTGTACTATTGTGTGTGCTCGGGTGTATTCAACAGCGCATGGGTAGCTTGAGCCTTAAACCCAGTCTTACTTGAGTCTGCCTTCCAGAGCACAGTGCGACGGTAGTCAAAGAGGGAGCTGCTGAACTGACTGATGGAATCCTAACGCGCTTGCTTTCTGTTTACAGTCTCCAATAAGTGGTTCCATGAACGAGGACAGGAGTTCTTGAGGCCTTGTGGATCCACAGAAGTTGACTGACGTCCTTCTCTGCCCCTCCGTTTCCCAGCCCCACAGCCCCATCATCTTCACATTAAACGTGACAGACACTTTGTATGTTCCAGCTCCTCGCAGGCAGGGTGTTGGAATCAGTGTTTATCTGAAGTGGAGAGAGTCCTGAGCCAAGTCCTGGGTGACTTGGTCTCAGATTTTGGCCAGCCTTTGCTACCTCTGGCCCCAGGGTAGCATGGGTGTGGCTGCAGCAGAGCCAGACTGTTGAGCACCTAGCAAGGTGCCTTCGTACCTCAGACGTTTCGGGTGTGAGATGTTCCAGTGAACCAAAGTTCTGATGCCTTGTTTACATGTTCGTTTTATGACACTTCTGTTTGTTCTGACCTTAACCAAAAAATAAAATGCCCCTGCCAAAGCCTTAAAGAGCCTTATTTTGGAGTAATAAAAACAAACAAAAAGCCAGGAGCTTGGGAGGTAGTGACTCAATTTAAAGTGCTTGCCGCACAATCGTGAAGACCTGAGTTTGGATTCCCAGCACCCAGGTAGAAAGCCCCGCCTGGTGATGCATGCCTGTAATCCCAGTGCAGGGGAGCTGGAGACAGCCTGAGTTGGTGAGCTCCAGGTTCAGTGAGAGACCTTGTTTCATAGTAAGATGGAGAGCTGTAGAAGACGATGCCGTGTCAGCCTGTAGCCTGCACATGGGCTACACAACCCGGGAGTTTTTGCCAGGCTTGCCATTTTGCATGCATGGCTGCTACACAGGCAGAATGCAGAGCAAAACCCTATCCTTAGGGTTTGGTCTGGTTTCAACACTTGTGTCCGCTCCAAGTTCAACGTCCTTTTCTGGAGAATGGAGGTAATTGTCTCTCCTGGTCTCCCAGGCAACGTAGAAAGCATGTGTGTTCACAATTGAAATTTTGTCTTTCCCAGTTTTGAGATGTGCTTACTGAGTGGTCCCTGGCTGACAGATGTGCCTTTTGAAGAACACAGAATGGATGGGAACAGCTGTGTTGCCCCTGCCTTGGTGAGACAGAGTTTTGTTCTGATCGGCTCTTCAGGAGCTGCATGAGGCCCTCCAGGCTCACATCTCCTTCCCTGCCCTCCAGACCTCAGTGATGACCATTGGCCAGTGGTTTGTGGTCATCAATCTTTTGCTTGTCTTCGAAGTTTTGCTGCCTGTGACCAGATCCTTAAACACAGTTCTTCATTTCCACCAACTGAGTGTTTTGACTAAATCAGACTTTTTTTTTTTTCCTTTTTTTTTTTTTTCCTCTTTGGCTTTCAGTTGTCAGGCAGGATTTTGTTTTGTTGTTTTTTGTTTGTTTGTAGTTCATTCAGGACACTAGAGAAACAGAAATGATAGAATGAATGTATATATCACAAAGGGGTTTATTAGATTGGCTAGCATGACACAGGCTGGGTAGGCCAACAGTGGTCATCTGGACTGTGAAGAGGCTGAGACCCCATTTGCTGTTCAGTCCACAAGACTCAGTGCCTTGGGCAGTCTGACTCAAGGCCTGGGGGATTCCTGGAGAGGGGCTGGTCTGCAGTCCACACTGGAAGGTCAAAGATGCTGGTTCCTATGTCAGTAGGACGACAGCAGCAGCTGGATAGCTGCACTCACCACAGATGGAGAAGACCGCTGCCTTTTTTCTTGAACTTCTCTGTATCTGGGCTGCTGCAGGGTGGTGCTGCCCACTCCAGGAGAGGGCCCTCCCTCAGTTATTCCTCCCTGGAAATACCTTCAAAGACCTGCCCAGAGGTGTGCCTCTAGTCGGCAGATCCAAACAAATTGACTTTCCAGATTAACCATCACTGTAGGACTGTACCATCCAATCCATAAACACTGATGGCCGTCTGAGATGGTCTCAATCTCTGTGTGTTATGATTGAGGGTGTGATGAGCCTTTTTATGCATGATTTCTGCTGCACATGAGTGCATTTAGGATTTATACCTAGGAATGGAAATGTGGACTTTTACTAGTGAAGTCTTCAATGTTAGCATACAACGCATTTCAGTGCAGCTGTATCTCTTCTCACCAGGAATGAATGAAAGTCCTTGTTACCCCACCTTCCTCCAACATCTGGTATTGTCATATGTTTGCATTTTAGCTTGGTGTGTGTTATGGACTGAATGTGGTTTCCCCACTGCAGTTCGTGTATGTTATGTAGAAATCCTACCGCCTATGATGGTATTAAAAGGTGAGGCCTTGGGGAGGCAATTTGGGCACTGGGGTGTAACTCTTGAAGAGAGTCATGCTTTTATTAAAGGTACCTCTCATCTTCAGCTATCAACGTGACACACGTAGACTTACCTGGGAATAGGTTCCCTCAGTGAAGGGATTTCCTCCGTCAGACTGGCCTGTGGCCATGTCTGTGAGGCACTTTCTTAGTGCTAATTGATGTTGGAGGCCTAGCCCACTGGGCAGTGCCATCCTCATGAGGGGGGCTTGGGCTGCATAAGTAGCTGAGCAAGCAGAGGAAGCAAGCCAGTGAGCTGCGTCTCTGCTTCAGTTCCTGCCTTGAGCTCCTGCCCTGGCTTCCCACAATGACAGATGTGACCCGTTAGTGGCAATAAACCCTTTCCTCCCCAAGTTTGGTCAGTGTTTTATAGCAAAAGAAGCCAGCTAGGACTATGCCCCAGAGAGCTCTTGGTCTGTCGTCTTGTCATGTAAAGAGTTATCAAGAAGATGACTGTCCTGTAAGCGTTCTGCTATTCTGAAGTATTAGAAATAAATGGATCAGGGCTGGAGAAATGGCTCAGTGGTTAAGAGCACTGACTGCTCTTGCAATTTGGGCACTGGGGTGTAACTCTTGAAGAGAGTCATGCTTTTATTAAAGGTACCTCTCATCTTCAGCTATCAACGTGACACACGTAGACTTACCTGGGAATAGGTTCCCTCAGTGAAGGGATTTCCTCCGTCAGACTGGCCTGTGGCCATGTCTGTGAGGCACTTTCTTAGTGCTAATTGATGTTGGAGGCCTAGCCCACTGGGCAGTGCCATCCTCATGAGGGGGGCTTGGGCTGCATAAGTAGCTGAGCAAGCAGAGGAAGCAAGCCAGTGAGCTGCGTCTCTGCTTCAGTTCCTGCCTTGAGCTCCTGCCCTGGCTTCCCACAATGACAGATGTGACCCGTTAGTGGCAATAAACCCTTTCCTCCCCAAGTTTGGTCAGTGTTTTATAGCAAAAGAAGCCAGCTAGGACTATGCCCCAGAGAGCTCTTGGTCTGTCGTCTTGTCATGTAAAGAGTTATCAAGAAGATGACTGTCCTGTAAGCGTTCTGCTATTCTGAAGTATTAGAAATAAATGGATCAGGGCTGGAGAAATGGCTCAGTGGTTAAGAGCACTGACTGCTCTTGCAGAGGACCTGGGTTCGATTCCCAGCACCCACATGGCAGCTATGAACCATCCTTAACTCCAGTTCCAGGGGAATCTGAAGCCCTCTTCTGACCTCTGCGGCATTGCATGACATGGGTGCACTCACATGCAGGCAATACGCTCATACACATTAAAAAAATTTTTTTAAAAATGGATCATTTTACCCTATGTATGGTATTTTATTACAGCAGCCCTACATGTCTGAGACAGTGTATTCATAATAATATCTTTAAAAAAATTTTTTTTGGCTTTTTAAGGCAGGGTCTCCCTATAGCCCCAGCTGACCTGAACTTGCTATGTAGACCAGACTGGTCTTGATCTCACAGAGATCTGCCTGCCTCTGCCTTCCCAAGTGCTGGTATTTAAAGGTGTGCACCACCATGCCCAGCTAGTAATCTATTTTAAGTAATATTTTAAGTGATATTAATCACCTTTTCCTGCTTATTAGTTATTAGGTTTCTTTAAGTCTTTCTTACTGGTTCATAGAAATTTTTAAAATTTAATTTTGTCCATTATCTTTTCGAAATGTCTATTTTGTGGTGTCTTCATTTTTATTTAGTTCGTTTGGTTTTTCCATTTTCTTGCATGTGGGCTCGCTCCTATGAGGTTGATGTGGGGGTCATCTTCAGTGATTTCACCTTATTCATCAAGGCAGGATCTCTCAATCAAACTCAGAGCTCATGGATATGGCTACAATTATTAGCCATCTTGTTCTGGAATCCTTGTCTCCACCTTCCAATTTAGAATTAAAGGGGTGACTTGATGCCCACCTGGCAGTTATGTGAGTGTTGGGGATCCAAACTCCAGACCTCATGTTCTTACAGCAAGCACTTTAACCACCGAGCTGTCTCCCTAGCCCTAACTTCTTAACTTTCTTGTCAAATTTATCAACTGTTTCCTTCTCGACATTTTTTTTTTAAGATACCTTTATACCTCAAGACCATGAATGCATTTTTCACGTTTTTTTCTACACCTCTATGGTCTTTGTCTTTTATTTTTGTATCTATTATGAGGTGTAAAGCTACTCAAGTTTTTTTTGTGTGTTAGGATGAGATAGGCTTGTGCTGCAGTCATCAATGGTCTGAATCTCAGGGGCTGAGTGCATAAAACTTACAAAAAAGCCCACTGGGTCTAGGGCAACTGCCCCCCATCTTCTGCCTCCTAGCTTTGCAATGGCTTTCCTTGGCAGGACCTAAAGGGAAGTCGACTGGTAAGGAAGTCTGGGAAACATAGTGAGGTGTGTTCTGTGTTCCTATTTGGGGGCATTTTTAATTTTGGAAAATTATTAAGTTGATTTTCTCCCTCAGTGCTGCCTGTTTCTGTTGGAACTCTGATTAAATTAGAGATAGCGTTCCTCTCATTTCTTAACCTGTATTTCCTGCTTTTTATTCCTGTTCTGTACTTTCAGATAGCGTTACAGCTGTCCTCTTTATTAAGTCTGCCTCCTACATGCAGCTAGCACTTGCTCCCTAAGGAGCACACCCCTTCTGTTAGAAGTCGGCTGTTCCCTTCGTGGCTCTTCTGAATGTGACCCTCCCTCCCCTCCTTCTAGCTGCTCTTACATTTTTCTCTTCATTTTAGTTTTCAGTGGTTTTGCTGTGACATACCTAGTGTGGGATTCTTTTCATTGCTTTTCTATTTGGCGTTTATAGAGCTTGAATTTACGGGTTGGTGTCTGTGATGAGTTCTGGGAGTTTCTCAGAAATTCTATCTTTTAAGTATTTGTTCTGTCCCATTTTTTCCTCCCCTCTCTCTGGGACTCCAGTAATCTGGATAGTAAAACTCTCCCCCCCACTTCCCCTATCCTGTCTCCCAGCCTTTCTCTCCCTTATGCTTAAGATTAGACAGGTTATTGGTTTGTCTTGCAGTTGACTGATCTACTGCTAAACCTATCATGTTCTTAAGTAGTTATATGTCCGTTCTGGACTAGCCCCACTCTCCCTCCTCCTGTCCTTGTCTCCTCACCCCTTTCCCCTCTGTTTCTCCCTCTTCTTCCCTCTCCTCCCCCTCCCTTCCCAGTGTTGAGGAGTGAACCCAGAAAAACAC